AATAGTTTCTAAAATTATTCATGTTGTACCCACTGACTTACCTTCTAATGAAAATGAACTAAAAGTATCAGAATGAGAGTAAGTATAGACAACAAAATCATCAGTACCAAAATTGGACACCAAGACGGCCATTTATAAATAACTCTGTTAGTCCAAATTACTATAATAATCAGCAACAAAATCAAAAATCTTCCCAAGGCAAAATTTCAACCAATAAGCCCAAAGTTTCATAGGGAATTGCCAGATTTAACATTAATTATAAATAAGCAATAAACATGTCATTTTACTCAGGGTTATCAGGATTTATCTCCTAAGTCATGAAGTATTGAGATAAGCTAGGGATCACTAATAGTTATCATTGGGGCCAAAATTGTGAAACAAGCTAAACTTCTTTAATGCTGAATATCAATCCCAGCATAAAGATAAACTATAAGGTGACCAAACATAAAATTGACAATTGTTATGATTGTGTCCAAAGTGAAAATGACAACTTTGAAAGAAACACCCAATGAGACTAATAAAACTATCATTTTAAATGTTGACAATTGTTGACAAACAATTATTAGTTACAGCCCATATACATGAAACTAATTGAAAAGTTGAACAATTAGGACAAACCATTGCAACATGTTTAAAATGTCATTAAATGTAGAAGAATCCTTAAATGCAAAATTAAGGATTCTTCTAAAAAGATTCCATGGCCTAAATTATTAAAAGAAGTAATTGAAGAATACAATTTGACTCCATACTTTTTAACTAAATTTCCACCAGCTTATTTAATGTTTGGCAGTGTCCTATTTATACTGCCTTTGTCAGAAGAAATTTACCCACCAATGGAAAAAGTTTTCAAAAATTACTGTTGAAGAAACAAAACAGTATCACGAAAAAAATAAAATTTATTAGGAAGCTAGATTCACTCATATCAAATTTTCATCAAACGATACAGTAATGTATGAAGATTTTAAATACTCCAATACTAGAAAACTTACTCCTAATTTTAGTGGATCACTCATAATTCTTAAAAAAATTTATGATCTTAATTAGAAAATAAATAAAAACGAATATTCATTATGAAATACAGATATAGTTCATGCATCAAATTACGAGGTCTCATAAGTAATAAGTAAGTGCACTAAATTAAATACAAATATGGTTTAACAATATAAATAGAATTAATTTAAAATTTATTTCACCTATAACGTATATTTTTTATATTAAATTTAATGCTTTAATGGTCTTTCATTGTTATATGTGAAATTTAATTAACTTTCAAAAATAATACTCAATATGACCTATTATAACATAGTTCAGATCAACATGTCATCCCCTGTTTTCGGTAAGATCCGACACTTCAAATTTTTTAAGAGCTCAGCGTTTATCCCTATCTGACACAGATATGTGAGCAAAGGTAATTCTTTTCTCTGTTTGTGGTCAACATCACAAATAGATACATATTTTATTATGCATGTATAATATTTGAAAGTAAGATCTTCTAGCACTAGATTGTTGAGAAGCAGGACTATTTATCGCAGTTCCTTATTGAGCAAAAATATCCCTAAAAATACTAAAGTCCTAAACTTCAGAATAGAAACTGTGTGTCGAACTTTTTAAAATAAATTAAACAGTTCTGAAGTCACAAACTTTAGAATAACGATAACTGCGTCAATTTTTTCAAACAAAGAAAACAATGCTGAAGTTTTAAACCTCAGATTGAACTTTTTTCTTATAACAAAATAAGTCAACTGTTTTTGATATTGCATGTTTTTGAATTTTTAAATTTTTTAGGAAAACTTTCCATTTTGATTGAAAATTTATTTGAACTTTGTTAAAATGAAGAATTGGTTGATGAATGGTTGTTCACGCTGAAATAGAACTTTTATCGTGCACTACAAACAAAAGACTTAAAACTGTTAAAAATGAAAGTCAAATTCATCAATCTCAGGCAATGCTTTAAATTAAGAATTTTAAAGAGCAATCATTGGTTACATGAAAACACTTGATAAAATTAAACATGAATTCTTGGATTTTGTTAAACAGGATGATAACTCATCAATTTTTGCACTAAATAACTGCTCATTAAAACCTCTGGTATCAATCAGGTCTTTATCCCATAGAATTGACATAACATTTCACAAAGTATACTCTAATTTTAGCCTAATTTTACCCTACTATGAGCAAAATGGATCTCACTAAAGACAATTTTTTTAATCCTTAAAAAAAAAAAATTTAAATATATATTTAAGAACTATGTACATTCATACTCAAATAAAAAAATATATTAAGAACTTTTTACTTTAAAGTGATATTTTTACAATGGCAGATAAAAAAAAATTTCAGTGGAATGTCTAAAATAAGAATTTTTATGAAAAATGAAAAATAAATTTTTGTTTAAGAATTTTTCAAAAGCCTTAAGAACAGTTGAAAGAATAAAGAATTCTTTCATGATTTTAAGAACCTAGATGAACACTGCTTATACTTTAAATAATTCATGAGAATATTTATTGGGAATTTTTTGTTATAAAATAGTTATAAAATTTCATTGGAAAATTCTAAAGTTTAAGCATAAATCACCCTGTCTATTCTAATCTGGTTAAATTGCTCTCTTCTTTCTATTATGCAAAACATTCTTCTTTCAATATCTAAAAATTTCATTATTGCAAAATCATACAGTAATACAATTTATATTATTGTCTTTAAGGTATATAGAAAATAGAAAAAACAGATAAATCACTAAAAGTAGTAGACTTCTAATAGATGTGAATTAAGTTAAGAAACTTATAATCAACTTTAGATTATTGAAACTCTTATTAAAATCATGTAAAAAAACGTCATGTTATATTTAATAGTACTATTAGGATATTTTCTATGAATGCAAAGGTTTTATATATTTGAAAAATTAGCAACCACTTTTAAATTCTATAGCACTGCATCGCTTTTAAGATTTTTTTTCATTTTTAAAAAAAAAACTCTTCTTTTATTTTATTTCAAGCAATTTATTTTAAGCAATAACTTTAATTCAAGCTATAACTAGAATCAGTATATGAATCAGAATAGTTCAGAATTATAGCTTGAATGTTTGAAAACAGCTCATGAAAGATCTTTAGTGTTTTTTTTCCTTTCCTAAAACAAAAATGTTATAGAAGCCCCAAAAGACTGAAAATTGTAAGAGTAATGATACTTGTTGCAAATGTTTCTTTCACCTGATAGAACTTGATAAAACTCAAAAAATATTTTCTTAATAGCAGAAGAAATTTCATTTTATATTTACCGAAAATAAATAAATATGCTTTATGATTATTTCTTAAAATAATTTCCCTCCAAATTTAGCTATAAATGATATACAAAATTACAAAATAAAATGAATTTTTTTAACCTAAGTAATTGTAACTATATATATATATATATACACAGTCCAGTCACATTAATGTGACCACCTGTCAAAATCCAGAATAACCACCTTTGGCAGAGCGAACCGCTACGAGGCGTGCAGGAAGAGAGTCAGCTAGGTTTCTGAAAGTGTTCACTGGGATGTTGAGCCATGCTGACTCCAGTGCCGTGGCCAGCTGCGCTAGATTACGCGGTTGAGGATCCATGGCGCGAACAACCCAATCGAGGTGGTTTCACAGATTCTCGATTGGGTTTAAATCCGGTGAGTTTGCTGGCCAGGGGAGTACGGTAAATTCATCCTGGTGTTCTTCGAACCACGCACATGCACTGCGAGCTGTATGACACCTCGCATTGTCCTGGTGGTAGATGCCATCATTCTGAGGAAAAATCATTTGCATGTAGGGGTGGACGTGGTCTGCAAGGACAGATACATACTTGTACTGATCCATAGTGCCTTCCACAATGATGAGTGCACCCAATGAATGCCAGGAAAACATTCCCCAAACCATAAAGCTCCCTCTTCCAGCCTGCATCCTTCCGGCAATTGTTGCAGGGTGTTTGCTTTCAGACATTTCACGCCGTATACGTCAACGTCCATCTGTCCCATGGATCTAAAATGTGATTAATCGGAAAAAGCCACCTGTTATCACTCTGTGAACGTCCAGTTGCGGTATTGGCGTGCAAATTCCAGCCTTTGTCACCGATGAACAGCAGTCAGCATGGGTGCATTAACCAGGCGTCTGCTGCGGAGGCCCNTATATATAACAGAGTAAAAACCTGAAGTGTGGTCAATTCTATGCTTCATCAGTAAAACCCTAATTTTTACCAATGTGGCATGGCAAAGTCTAAAATATGCCTTAGTATAATTTCATTTCGGCCTCTTGTCAAACCTTTGCTGTAAAACCTAGAACAGGGATGGCGAACTAATGGCACACGTGCCATTTAAGGCATGAGTCACAATATTTTGAACACGCCACCGATCACAATTGTTATTACACTATGAATTGTTATTACACAAATGTTATCACATTATGAAGCATATGTAACAACTAAATTAAAATTCACAAAAAACAAACAAAATAATAAACAATTATTAATAAAAAAATTAACAATAAATGATAAAAAAAACAACTAATAACCATAAAAAAACCAGCTAACATTAAATGACTAGCAAAAAAATTAACAGTCCTGCTTAAACTAACATCTTACAACCTAATATAAATTGTTTGTTATCTAATCTGCAACAACAGAAGTCACACTGATGTTACTTTAAGTTGTTTTAAGACATGGTAAAATGTTTTTTTTTTCAATGTAAATAATGAATTTTGAGTTGATAGTATTTAGTATTGTTATTTTCCCTATAATCACAAGGTCAAAATTATTTGACGGCACGTCTATGATCTCATTAAACAATTTTTTAGAAAAAATGGCACGTTGGTGTATAAAGGTTCACCACCCCTGACCTAGAACTTACTAAGCCACCTTGGTAAATCTCAGGTTTTACCAGTAAAAGGTAGAATTTATTAGACTTTGGGTTATTACAATGACATATATATAAGGTGGTTAAAGAAACATTCATGTCACATAAGGTTAGACTAACTTTTCACACATACCATGATACAGGAAGTCCATAGAGATTAAAGAAAGATAGAAACCCATTTCAATCAGGGTACTTCCATAAGTTTTCCCTTGTATGCATTAAAACAAGTCCTTAACAGAAATGCTATATTCTCAATACCAGTAGCTAAAAACAAAGAAAAATATAAATGAATAAAAGCATTGAAGGTAATATTACAACAAATATTTTAAAAAATGAACTTCGACTTGAGGATTAGTTACGAAGCATCCCTGGGTTGGGATTTTAAGAAAAAACCCAACCAATATGGGTTTTTTCCGGAAAAAAAACCCTTTTCTCAAAGTGTATAATGAATTACATAATGATGAAAAGGCTGAAATGATTCTTTATAAAATGAAAAGCATAATATGCTATGTGATTTGTTTTAAATTATAAATAAAAACATAATTTGCCTTCAAGTTAATGAATAGAGTCTCTAGAAGTATTATATTTAATTATAGAATGAAATGCATAAATCTTTCCTAGAACATGATATGCTCATTTGTATTTTTTAATTCATGATTTTTTTTTTCTGTCTTACAATGTACGAAATATTATCAGTTTTTATCTTAATTATGCTTTTTACTTTTGAAATGAATGGGAAAAAAAACGCTTGTTCTCAAAGATTTGCAGATATAATTTAAGATTTTTGATGAACACACATTAAACTCAATTAATAATTAAGTACAAATGAGCATATCATGAACAGCCAATATCTACAAGATGCATTCACATTTCATTAATAAATAAATTAAATATATGTTCACAATATAATTTAATATTTTTCTCTTATCGAACAAAATTTTTATCAAATAAAATATTTGCGAACAAAAGAAGATTAAAAAAAATATCAAACAAAATACATTTTTGTACTTGTTAACATGTAAAGTATAAGCTTAATCTCAAGTCATGACAATTTCATTTTACTAAATATGTAAAGTATGAGAAAGTCTCTCTTTATTTCTATTTTTTTAATTGAAATATTTAAACAAAACAGAGCTAATCAAAAATTAAAAAATATTCTTTCTAATCCAGCTGTCAGAAGAAAAGCACTGAAAAATTGAGTAATTAGATTAGATATTTTGACCTTCAACTGATATTCTAAAATATGGTTCTGTTAATATATGGGCTCCACATTCAGACTTTTATCTTTAAACATGGATTATTTTTGGAAAAGATACAGTAGATGGAAACTAGTACAGTTTATACTAGAATCCTTAATTAAAAAAATTTTAAAAAATGGGGATATTTTGGTCTAATCTACAAAAATACTCATTACTGACAAGTTTTTTTAACTCAAAAATTTATTTCTGCACTCTTCGTCTAAAACATCATATATCACACATATTTTGAGATAATGGATGCATATAATATCTATCTGTTGATGTACTTTAACAAACCCTAAAGAGTATACTATTCAAATAAATTATGTAATAAGTGTAAATGTATATGCATATTGCAAACAACTTGTTTTATAGATATGTAATGTATATAATTTAGTAATATGTTTTTTTAATCATGTACTTTATTTTTTCAGGTATGTAGTTTATTCGTGTTAAAATTTTGTTTGCAAAATTCCAATTGCTGAAATTAGCTTTACTTCAGATAATTTTGCATAAAAAGTTATGGTTAAATTTATAAAACAATAAGTTGATAATTTCAGAGAACAATTTGGTTTTTTTTAATGCACAAAAATTTAATTGTAAATGACAAAAAGTGAAAAAATCCACTTGGTAGGTATAAAGATGAGATTTTTCAAATGGACCATATATGAAAAAATCCACTGGGTTTTTTCTGGGAAGAGCTCACCTTGGTAAACCCTGATCCCTGTTGAATTAAACTTACAAAAGTCAACAAATCAAGGACTCCAAAAAATTAAAGAAATAAAATCCGAACAAGAAAATTGCAAATTTAAAAAAAAAAAAAAATCGTAATATGCAGATAGCAAATTTATAAAAGCATAAAAACGTATCTTTCTTTCAAAGGAAAATAAATTTATTATCTAATTCAAATTTGATTTAGAATTTTGATCTAATTTTTATGAAAATTTTATTTAAACACTAAACACACAATAATTACTTGTTTATTTCAATATAAGAACATTGTTTTTGAGTACACATGCATTATGCAGACATTCTTTATAGGAATTGATAATGTACAGTGAGTCAATAAAAAATTAAAAAAAATAACAGACCACCCTGAATAACTTTGGATCTAATGATCAGATTAATAGGTTCTAGGACTCAATATTAATACAGTAGGGAACCGATTATCCGGAACGATCGGGACCATCGCTATTCCGGATAACTGATTTTTCCGGTTTTCTGAATCGCTACAAAAAGCCGTTTTTTTTATTGTCAAACTCAACTAAAAAAAAAATTATTTGGAAATAATCTTAAAAAGAAGAAAAAACGATGAAGTAATACACTAATGATTATTTCCAAAATGATGGTAAGGTAAACATCTTTCAAAAAAGAAAGTAAAATCCTGAAATCTTAAGAGGAAAAATAAAAAATTTTTTAAAAATGGCGGGAAAATTTATTGAATTTCGTTCCGGTTTTCTGATTTCCGGATAACGGGTTCTGTACTGTAGTTTGAGGGCTGATCTCAAATTGGCAAATTAATAACTGCAGACAATATTCTAAGTTACGAAATCAGACACAAAAATGTATTTTTCTGAATAAACTACCTTTTTTTCAACGAATTTGAAATTCTGACCCCTGAGATATATGGGGTAGATGCAATCTGGGAAATATGGTCCCGTTAATTGGTTAGGAGAGTGATCCAAAGTTTGGACCCCTAACTGTTAATTTTACTTTCTGCATATTTCACCATATCTTGAGAAACTTGAACTTTTTCAGCAAATATAAATTTTTGCACAGAATTAAGTCATTTGTCCAAAGATAATTCAATACAGAAAATAAATTTTAGTAAACATCAAATAATTAATAATAGTCAAAACATTTTTGAATTGTAAGATACTATACAATTTTTATATTATTTTAATGTATGTAATTTTACATGACAAAATATAAAATTTGAGCCGAATCAGATCATTGTTTTTGAACTAAAATTTGTTCCTGAGAAATAGTTATTTGAGGTCACCCCCTAAAACTATTAAGATTGAGACCTAAAACATGAAGATCAGATCATTAAATCAAAAAATATTCCAGGTGGTGTGCACTGTGTCTGTCCTGTATTTTGATGATCAAAAATGCAAATCTATTTGAAAAGAATAGCTTTTATTTGAAAAAAAATAAGTTTTTGAATCTTAGGTGGTAATTTAAAATCATCAAATAAATTAATCAACCAGCATATTCAATGCTTATCCTTAGAATCATTAAGATTGCATCTTAGTAAATGTATAAAAATCTGATAATTAGATTAAAAATTACTGTAAGTGATCATATTTTATTTTGAGCATATTTTTATTTACTTATTTTATAAGATTATTAAAACCTTTTTTTTATGAAACATAATTGTGAAAAACAATTTTTAATTTGTCAAAACAAGCAAGCTTTATACATAATTCTTATTGCCAATAAAATCAAAGTGAATCACTAATTATAATAAAAAAAATTTAATATAAAAAATATACGTAATAAAGAGTATAAAGATGATAATAAGTTGAAGCTAAGACTGAGAGAGACTTTTTGTTGATATTATGCTGAGCACAAAATGAGATTTTGTTTTAAACAATACTTGAATAACATGCATGTTGTTATGGAGGAGCATGTAAGAGCTATATATTTTTAAATTAATATAAAAACAAAAGGGAGAATTCTATGTGAATGTGATTTCTCTTTTTAGATTTAATATATGGAATTTTATTTAAAAACTATATCATGCAAATTAATGCCTCTTGATTAATTTCAAAAATTCTACTTTGAACCTCTAATTTTAGGCCACTTTTCTACATAAATCTGATATTATTTTCCCAATTACATAAAGTTTTTGTGGTTTAATGTAGCAAATCAATTATTCAACATAAGCTTAAAAAAAGTAAAATGGATTTATATTGTATGGTTTTAGTGGTCAGCTCACGTCCACATTTCTGGAGATTAATCAATCACTGAACTTTTTTCTCAATAAACTAATTGTGTTACAAAATGCATTTTATATTGCACCATATTGTTGAAACCGCATGTTCTTCATAGTAAAATTATCTAATTTATGCCAGTAAATCGTTGATAATATTTCTGCACCATTATCCATGGACAGTAACTGTATCGCCAATTTCAGTTTCAAAACCATCAGTCAAATTACTCTCCCAGACTATTATAACCAACAAAACTGATAATCATTGCAGTTGTAATGGTTTTTCAAGCACAACAAGGTTTTTTTCATAATAAATATAGCTTACTTACAAAATCATTAATAAAAAATGAACAAGAAACATACTCTGAGTATATTGGAAGCATTTTCAATAAATTTTAACAATTTTTGCAGGTGATGCTATGATATATCTTTCTATGGGGATTTGCTAAACAATATTTAACACAAATATATTTTTTGCAAGAATCTGAAGAAAAAAAACGTTGTTATGGTGATTAAAAATGTAAATCTTCATATGATAATAATAATGACTGAGAAAAAAAATCTGATTCAATAAATATATATCTGAAAAAAAAGAAATAACTTTATTAAAACTTTAACATTTAAAAGAAAAACAATAGAAATAAATAAATATGAAATATTTAATAGTATTTTTTTCTTTCTTATGCATTTTTTTTATATATAAAATATCAATCATTTAATTTAAAATTCCTTTCCATGCTTCCCAGAAAATTTAAACAAATTGACACATATTTGTTATAAAGGGCAATTTCTCCTCCCAGTCCATAATTTTCAGTTGAAGTTACATGATAGAAAGGCATTACAAGTAAAATTACACCATAAATATCTATACTGCTGTGCAATTGAAGAAACAATGTAAGTGTCTCACATTTGATTTTGAGAAAAGACGCTCACCAACTGTTTTCCTTCTATTACTAATGCTATGAACACTAAAAAAGAATTTCAAAAAACTATAGAACAAAATTTATTTGATAAATGATATATTTGATAATGATATGATAAATGATTTCAAAATGATATAACAAAATTTATTTTTGAAAAAATATGTTTTGTAATATGTAGCTTACCATAACAAAGATTCAAAATATATAAATATCTCAAGTACAAGGCTCGATCTTTCAAAAATTTACTACTAATTTGTTTCAGTCTCAAAAAATTAAAAAAGAAAAAAAATGAATAAGAAATAAACAAGTAAACAAATATAATAAAAAATGTTGTTAATTTTTAAGTTTACGATGTTATAGTCTTTGAAATTTATAATATTATTTATAATATTATTTGTAATATACAATATAAATTTAAATATAATAAAACCAGAGTACTATATATATTATTTATATCTGATTAATTTGTCAAAAATGAATTCCAAAATGGGATTATGAGAAGTTAAAAATGTTAAATAAAATAACTTTAGGTAGCACAATTTATGCACAAAAATTAAATTTATATAATTGGAGGACTAATTGTGAAACAAGGAAAAGTCTCAAAATTTAAATGAAAGTAGTTGTAAACTACTTTCATTTAAATTTTGAGACTTCTTTTTCACAATAAGTTCTAATATTTATTTTTCACAATATAACTTTTTATTCCATGGGCTGTCACACCACTGAGTTTAGTTTTAGTAGTTGTAAACTGATGATAATTATTTTTTTGCTTTAGATCAGGGATGGGCAAACTACGGCCCGCGGGCCAACTTTGGCCCACCGGAAGGTCTTATCCGGCCCGCGGATAGAATTTGAACTTGCCGATCAGTGGCAAATATAAACAATTTACATCCATTTTCTTGTCAACTTTGATGAAAGCTATTTATGCTCTTTCTTTTTTTACTGACGACCTTTTTACTTTCTCTATTTTTTGTTCCACAAAACATAAATTGATGGAAATAGTTAGCACTGACAGCTTCAATTGGTAAAATGTTGAAATCAGAAGTTCTTTATAGAATAGCCATAGATTGGCTTCAAATAGCGTTCGTCTCTCTCGAGGAGCAGCAGACTTATGGAATCTAATATAGGTGAATTGTACTTCACATGTGGCAGACTGCGCATTTCAAGCTCCAACGAGCAGACAATCTAACGATCATCTGAAGCAGTTGTTTCTAAATATGCCAAAGTTTGAGTTTTACAAATCATTACTAAAAGTTAGTTTCCAAAATCTAATATTCCATGCCCAGAAAATCCATGCTAGCTATGTTTGCTTAATCTTATATATGTGAACAAGAGTTTTCAACTATGAACCATAGAAAAAATCTTTTCAGAAGTAGACTAACAGACAAGCATTTACCCTCTTGCTTTAAAATAAGTGCAGCTCACTTCGACCCTCAATATAAGGAAAATGAAATCGCAGTTTCATTCATCTCACTAAATATTTAAATTAAAACTTGTACATCGCTTTTTTTTTCTTTTAAATTTTGAATTTCTTACTTGGCCCACCAAAAAAATTTTTCCCAATTTTTGGCCCTCAACCAAAAAAGTTAGCCCATCCCTGCTTTAGATATTTCAATGTTAAGACATCAAGCATAAGTTAATGGTTATTTTTCACTATGAATGTTTGTTGCTTCACAAAAAAACTGATAACAAATGAGAGAAAATTTTATAATGCTTAAAAAACCAACTTAAAAATGTAGTTTTACAATAAATGATATTAACCATGAACAAAAAATAAGTTTTGGAACGTGTAATTGCAGAAAAGTTGCTTTCTGTAATTGGAATAAAAACGTCATAAAAATTTGAAGTTGATTGAAACTTTAGAAATAAATAGATTATAAATATAAATTAGTAAGTTACGCTTCTTTGATAAATTAAATTCCAATTATTAATTTTAGCGTTTTATATTTGCTTAACATTTTACAAAAGAAAAAAAAAACAATAAAAAAAAGCAAAGTTTCTTAATTTTCACTATGTACCTCTTCACTAATTATGTTAGATCAGAGCAACCTAGAACTTACCATGTAAATTTAAGTAACACACAATTTTATTTTAATATTATTTTTACAATATTTTTTTTAAAAAAATTTTAAATCATTTTTAAGTAATTTTATACTGTTACTAGTTTATATAATTTGAATTTAGTTTCAGCTGCCTTGTGCGCTGTTCCAATTTGAATTAGTGTAGCAATGTAGTAATTTTTTCCTATCTCCTGTTTAATAATTTTGACTTAAGATTTGAATTTATATTTGCATGTAAATTTAAGTTATGAGTTATAATATGTTTATAGTATATTTATCAACATATTCATTATACTCCTCTCCTTCACAGAGACAATCATTATCAGATATCTCCATGTTTCCAAATATCATAACAATAATATCATAATAATACATAAAAATACATCTACATAAAGTTTGATTATGCTTATAGCTTTCAATCTTGTTAAATTACTTAAATGGCAATAAATTCTTTAATTTATCAAGCATAGCATGAAATACAAACATATCAAAAATAGGAATTTGAAAATCAATGATAAAATATAAGTTATCTAGCTTTTATTTTTGTATCGTGAAATTTTATTTCTTTGAGCACTAACCAGATAAAAAATAAATAAATAAAGCATAAATTGAAAAAAGAAAAATTGAGAATACTAAATATTAAAAATTTGGGAATTATCTTGTCATTTTAATATTATTTGATTAGATCCAACCATCCCCTGAATTTTTATAACATTTAATAATACTATTAATAATGTTAATACCAGGAAAATATAAATATCTTTGCATTTGTAGGAACGTACAGCAGTTTTCTTATGACAACAATTTAAAATCTTGTTAAATGATCAAAACTTTTCATGTTTATTTGTTGCTACAAAACTCATTTACACTGGTTTATGAAAAGGATGGTTTGAGCTTCTAGCTTACTTAGTCAAATAACTTCAATTGGTAGTTGAAATAAGAACTGTTTTAGCAGCCGCGATTTCAGTACGTCAACCCTGCAAATTTGAGGCGCAACAGCATCCGAAATTGGAAAGTGCCGAGGCCATTCTCACGCCAAGTTTTGTCCAGCTGGCGGCGACTGAATTTTGCGCGGGATGTGATATCTGTGTATGTACGGTATTTGTTGTGCTTATCGAAGTAATTATATTCTAATCACGATTTTTTTGTTTGTAAGGTAAACAAACCAGTGAAGGAACACTTAAGCTTCTCTTGTCTTTTAAAAAATCATATTAATTTCAAAATTCGTAATTTTAGTTAAGTGACAGTGTCAACATATTTGCTACTAATAGCAAATTAAGCAAAAAAAATTGTAGAGAACTTACATAATATTGTTTTAAAGTTTTGGAGGTTCAAATAACAAGTAGTAAGAAGACCAAGTGAAGGAACAGCTCTTACCAGTGAATGAACACCCAGTAAAGGAACACTTAATTTTGGTTATTTCTTAATGCTCTTTATGGATTTATAAGCCATACAAATATTTAAAAACAAGCCTATTCTTGAAATTATAACATATAAATAGTTGGAAAATATTAACTTTTCTTTGTAATCATGAATTGAAAATTAAAGTGTCAACATACTAACACATACTGTTCATTCACTGGGAAATCTATGCGCAGTAAAGGAACATGCCTGTTCCCTCACTGGTTAGAAGTTGTTTTTCGTATTTCTAACATACTTTTCATGCGGAACATCACTAAAGGTACAAGAAAATTAAAGTTTATCTTTTATTTTCATTAACTTAGAAAGAAAAAAAACAGTAAAGGAACACTTGTTCCTTCACTGGTGTTTCATCGTTTGGTGATCCAGTTAATAAACAGTACTTTATTATGCTATGATGCTTTAAAAAAATAAAACGTAACTTCAATAACTATATTTTGAATTCTCTTTCTCATAGTGAGAAAAATAAAACTATTACATGCAATTAATTCCACTTCAAACATATAAATACAAACACTCACCTTATAATTTTTTCAAAGAAACAAGGTGCTGCAGAGATAATAACAAATTCAAAAGATTTTTCAGAGAAGTCTATTTGACCAGGTAATCCAAAACATTGCTAGATGACTTCCTATTGTTTGGCAGTAAGCTATTGTTACCAATCAATCTACAGAAAAACTTTCAAATTCTTTTTTTAAATCGATATATAGGAAATGTTCCTTCACTGGGTCGTGTTCTTTCACTGGTTGGTTTACCCTATTGCTTATAAATATGTTTTGCATGTACGCTAGTGCTTTTGATGACTAGTTTTTTTCCCTTTTGTCTTCTTTTCGATAACACTTGAAATGTAATATCTAAGACTATTGTTATTTCTTGTTATAGCTCGTTATTCATGTGTTTAAAATTGCCTAAAAAATGATAACAGTATTTATATTTATTAGTATTTAATTTGATAGACTGCATGCAGGGTAGGACAGGCCATAGACCTGAAAAAACAATCGTCCTTTGGGCCCCAGCCAAAGTGCGGGGCTTTCTGAATCCATGTTCCTTTAAGCAAAAAAGAAGCATTTAAAAAAATCAATATTGCTTTCAAACATACTTTGTCGTAATTTTTTTCATTATTAGCATAATGAAAAGAATATTTATGTAGAATTTTATTTGATGAATACGTCTGAAGTAGTAAAACGTCACAATATAAATAACTACATGGAACTGTATCCTCAGCCTAATGAATGTGTATAAAATTCTGAGTTTACAAACTTTTGGATGTACAAATCAGAGCCCCACCTACAAAAGTTTGAGACCAAGGGGCCTCTTACAAATCAGCTCCCCTTTAAAAATATGAAGAAAAAAAAGAAAAAATATTTCCACACAAAATGATACTTCATCTTCGCAACAATGAATTATGAAACAAAAAAAACGCTTACAATTACGGCATACTATGAATAAAATTATGAGTTAACAGACTTTTGATTGTACAGGTCGGGGCCCCACCCGCAAAATATTATAAACCGAGGGTCCCTTAAAACCTCTCCCCCCCCCTCCTATAAAATAGGAAGAAGGAAAAATACTCCTAGGTGAAATGATATTTCAACTTCGCATTGATAAATTATGAAACATAAACATACTTAATTTTGCGACATAATGTGCATTAAATTCTCAATTTACGTACTTTTACTTGTGAAAACTATCAAATGTAATATAACTTTTACTTGTGACCTTTTACTAGTTAAATATTTCTCTCCCTTCCCTAAAAATGGAAGGAAGAAAAACACTTCTTCCCAAAGTGATGCTTCACTTTTACAATAATGAATTATGAAACAAAATCACAATTAATAATGCGGCATGATGATATGCATTAAATTCTTAATTAGCGACCAATTGGTTGGAGGAACCGAGGTCTAACTTACAAAATGCTTAAAACCATGAGGATTTTAAAAGTCAGCACCCACCCTAAAACTGATATAAGGAAAAGTACTTCTACGCAAAATGATACTTCAACTTCGCAATGATACGAAGCAAAAGCATACTTACTATTGCGGCCATAATACTTATTACTGCTTAACATCTTAATGACGATTATTAATTTCTGTTTAATATTTTAACATTAAACAGAAAAAAATCTATATTATGAAATTGGTGAAGATTGGTGAATTGAGATTGGTGAGAAGTCCGGGAGCGATGGGGAGGGGGGTGGACCGATCAAGACCCATTTTATGACTGATAGTGCCCAACTCCAATTAAAAATTTATAATGTCCTACATAAATCAACCTGTAAGATCTCGATGGCGGATAGAACGGAAGCTCTAAAGATAGTCAACGACCTGCTTGTTGTCATCAGCAAACAGGATGCCAACCTCGCCGTCAAATGGACAGTGTCTTGGACCAACTAGACACTACTGAAAGCGCAATCATGGACGTGGCATGCACCGGTGATCGCACTTATGCAGACGCACTGAAGCACAACAAGAACAACTTGTACAGAAATAACAAAACACCAAGAGCCAAGGACCACATTATCCTCATTAAACCCACGACCGGTAGTACGACTTCAGACAAAACCAAAAGTGACATCATCAGGGCCTTGGATTCGAATAAACTGAAAATAGGTGTTAAGAGATTGGTCAAAACAAGGGAAGGCGGCGTTCTAATCCAAACTAACAGTGAAAAGGAATTGCAGATATTTGAACAAGAATTTAACAACAATGACATAAAAGAAAACTACAAAATCTCATCAAAACCAAAACTTGTCAATCCGTCCATAGTCTTTGGTGTCGACGACGATGACAAGTGAGGACTTTCTGGAGGCACTGGTTAACCAGAACGACATCATAGAGAGTGAAGATGTTGAAATCAAATTCCCCCTACGAGGCGGAAAAAACGGAAACAATTGGGTCGTCGAGGTTAAACCAGGACCGTTTAACAAAATAATAGAAATGGACAAAATTAACATCAGATGGCGACGGCACTTCTCCCAGGAGCATCTTAGAATCAGGCAGTGTTTCAAGTGCTCCGAACACGGACATTTAGCCAGGGACTGCACTATGGAGAAGGTTTGCAGGAACTGTTCGCAGCGCGGACACCAAGAGAAAGACTGCACAAACTGTGAGCACTGCCTGAATTGTGCAACAGCCAATGTTAAATACAGGACCACACATGTTGTTAACCACAGCCCATTCGATAAAAACTGTCCACAAATAGTACGGGCTAGGGACCAGCAATCCAAAAGAACGAATTATGGATAATCGTCATCAATCACCCTTACTATTCGGCCACCTCAATCTCAATCGATCCAGGGCTGTAAATATCCAACTTAGCCGGGACATCTCGGAACTAAAGCTTGATATTGTAGGCATTAACGAACCATACTTCAACCTGCAATCGATTATCACTGACTTGTCTAGTAATATTAAGATTTATGCATTTGCCGATAAGCCAAAAGTGGCCATACTTATAAACCGCACTGACTTAGAGGACTTTAGTGTCTACAGCGAGCAGTGTATTCAAGCCATCGACTTCACCTATGGCTGTAAGAAATTACTCTTCGTTTCTATTTATATCCCGCCTAATGATAATTTTGAGCTTCATATCTCAAAACTCCAGTCCTTGGCTGCCCGTTTTACTGACCGCTCAGTGCTTATCACCGGCGACTTTAACGCTAAATCACCTATCTGGGGAGGTAGCACCGTGCACCGGTCTGGACCAGGGCTACAATTTATCAATTAATTTGATTTTATTATTTTGAATGACCCAAATTCTCCCCCTACCTACTGTACATCTCTGGGTCAAAGCTGGATTGACCTCATGATCACCAATGATACACACTTTGGCCACTATAGTGTTGCAGACATCATTACTGCCTCCGACCATGAGCTCCTCACTTGCACCTACACACCCGATACAAACCCGCAAACCTCTTATAACCAAAACAGGGTACCACGCTATCATTATAATAAATTAAATTGGATTACTCTCAAAAGCGGCCTAACAAATCTTCCAGAGCAATATGACCCCAATACAATAAACGATAAAACTGAACTGGAAGCTTTCATCACTGACGTCACGAGTGATATCGCAGCGATTTGTGGAAGGGCAACCCGCAAATCTAACGGCCAGAAAAGGAAGATAAATAACTACTGGTGGACTGACGAACTAGCGATAACTAGAAAGAGAGTGAGAGCCATGAGGCGGAGGTACCAAAAATGCACGGAGGCTGCTGGAAGACAAAAATTTCTAGTTGATTATAAATCAAACTTAGCAAAATACAGAAAGCTGATTAGACTTCAAAAAAGAATAGGGATCAAGAAATATGTCGAAAGTTTCACAACAGAGTCGGCTTTTGGGAAGCCATATAAGATTGCAAAAAACTTGAACATCAGATCACAAGAAAACATCCATACCGTCACTTGTGATAGGAACGAAACTTCCGACTTCAAGACCTCAATTATTAACATTCTGAACCATCATTTTCCAATGATGCATAATCCAGAGGTTGATATCAGACTCAGTGGTACTGATGCGGACGAATTCACTGTACCTGAAATTGAACATGCTATCAGATGTCTTAAACCTAACAAATCTCCTGGTCCTGACGGCATTCTAGCTGAGGTGTACAGAGAATTATACTACTGCAATAAATCTTGGTTTAGGGCAATGCTCAACAAATGCTTTCAACTAAGAATTTCCCCCACATGTTGGAAAACCGCCCTGGTATGCCTTATCCCCAAAGAGGGAAAAGATCCCCGACTACCACAGAGCTATCGACCTATCTCCCTGCTCTTTACCTGGGGTAAGATATTAGACAAACTATTAACAGAACGTCTAGTATATTTCCTGGAATCCAACAATAAGCTAAAGTCCAACCAATATCTCTTCAGGAGAGGCAGGGGGACAGAAGAGGCCTTAGGTGCAGTGGTTGATTTTGTAGGTCAGGCTAAAAGTGAGGGGAAACATACCGTGGGGGTAGCCTTGGACTTCGAGAATGCTTTTAATACAGCTAATTGGCAAGTCCTGAAGTACTGTCTTAATAACCTTGGGCTCAGTGATTCGGTGTTGGCACTTGTTTACGATTTCCTTAACAACAGACATGCCTGTTATTATTTTAATGATCAATTTGTTATTTTACCAATTAATACAGGTGTTCCACAGGGATCATCACTGGGACCAATTTTATGGCTAATTTTAATTGATTCTCTTTTAACTAGTTTTGATTTTAACGATTGCAAACTACTGGCCTTTGCTGATGACGTCTTCCTTTTAATGAAGCACACCATTCTTTATAGTCTCGATAATCTGGGGACCGAAATTATTCAAAATATGGTTAATTGGGCCGGAAGCCACAAATTAAAATTTTCACCCGACAAGACAAAACTTATAAACCTTCCCCAAAGACGCGAAATGTATAAAGAGAACACGTCGCTTAAAAATGGAGGGGACCAGGACGGCCTATGTAAGATGCGACAGGACATTGAAATACCTTAATGTAGAGCTCGATCCTCGGCTGAGCTGGATCCCACACCTGGAGTATCTAAGATCAGATATCATCACGTTCTATGACAGACTAAAACAGTTCAGTGGAGCCACATGGGGACTTATTCCGAATATCTTGAAATTGATATACCTGCAGGCTATTGAAAGGAAAATCATTTATGGTGCCTCCGTGTGGTATAAGAATAAAGTTAAAATAAACCAGAAGCTCCTAACTATCCAAAGAATTCCATTGCTCAACATCACTAAATGCTACTCTACAACTAGCACGGAGGCACTACAAATACTTGCAGGAGTCATACCTATTGACTTAAAAATTAGAGCAACTATTTCGATTAAACGACATACCTGGTCACCAGAGGAATTTAACGACAGCGATTATCAAACAGATGAACTTAGAAATTATATCCCTTACTCAGTCCCTGTGTATGACCCTACGAAGTTAAAGATCGTTAGTAGGGGTTTCGGCTCACCGAGGGGCGTTGGCTACGAGTTCTACACTGATGGCAGTAAGAAACAGGTGACCAATGAAAGCACAGGCGCTAATGAAGATCGGGTGGGTTGTGGTTTCTTGGTGAAACTGGATAACCATACTATTTACGAACAGACCGCACGTTTAAATAATGAGTGTAGTATCTACTCCGCCGAACTTACGGCAATCAAATTGGCTACCCTTTGGGCAAACAATAACAATATTGAACAATACACCATCTTTTCTGACTCAAAGTCCTCGTTGCAGGCCCTTGAAAACCCAACCCCAACAGACCCTCTTGTAGAAGAAATTAAGGAAATTGTTCAAAACAAACAATGCTTATTCAATTGGATTAAAGCCCACTCGGGGGAGCCTGGCAACGAGGAAGCAGATATTTTAGCCAAAAAGGGCACCTTATTGGGCGGGGTGGACTTTCACTACACCATAACAAAACCCCAGGTCAAACATAGACAGAGGCAGGTCAGTAGGATTTTATGGCAGGACAGGTGGAGCAGCTCTGCAAACGGGAGACACACACACTATTTGATACCTACAGTTAACGAATGTTTTTTATCCAGCGATTTTTACTTTAATCAGTTCTTAACTTCCCATGGTGTATTTGGCGATCACCAAGCTAGGATGTTTCAAAAATCCTCCGCGTGCAAATATTGCGGTCACTATCAGACTATTAAACATCTGATGCTTGACTGTCAAAAATTTGCAACCATTAGGGGAAATAGTTTTGACAGAAGAGGCGACATAAGATCTTGGTGCAGGACTAATAAACATAGGCAAATTATTAAAGACATCATTAAACGCACCCTGGAGGACGCACTCGCCCCTGATGACATTTTGGATCCGCTCTACACGAACTAAACTCAATCCCGGTTGTTGGGCTGCCCGCCTGTACGTTTCCCTTTATTTTGACAATGTTTTGTTGTTTTATCTATCTCATTAGCTTTTTAATTCTGTTTTAATCTATTTATTCACTACATTGTGCTTTTAAATGGCTTATTTACATTGCCTTTCCTTGCTTTGCAAATTTTAGAGTCGCCTTTTAATTGTATTTGATAATTGTTTGCTTTACCACTTTACATCTTTATCTCCTTTTGTTTCACATTTGAGATTTTCTTGACTCCTTACGCCTTGCTCTGTCTTACCTGTTGTCAATTTGTCATCGACTGTATTGGTTCTTTGACCTGTATTAACTTGGGACCTCCGTTTACCTGTGACCTTTTAATGTTTTCTTGTGTTCACTTCAGGTACACGTTTTTTAATGGTTCACTTCATGTTTTACTGTTCTTGAATACATCAGTAGTTTATACTTTGCGTCATTTATTAACCTGCTACAATGTTAATGATCGCTTTGGTTTAGCGACGACCCAACTTACTCTGTATTATTACTCGTTTTAATCCTATGTACTGCCTGCACATGATGCATTGTATGTCATAATGCACTTTCCTGCGATGTATTGTAAAATTTCTCATTTGTGTCTTTGATTCACTATAAGGGAGGTCCCGTCGGCTAAGGCACTATAAGGCGGGACTCTCGGAGCATTTTAATTGTTTTACTGCCCTTGCCATCAGACTCTGTAATGTTTTCGTATTTTTGCACTTTTTGTATTTTATGTACTTTTTCTGTTTTTCTTGATTTTAATAAACATTTACCCGTATGCCCTAAATTGGGACAGGTCGGGGTAAATATTTCATATTTTATGAAATTTATACAGCTTTAACAGTGGTAAATAAAAAAAAATGATAAGCTTAAACTTCTTGAAAATAATTACATCATTCAGAGTAAATTTTACGTAATTATTTAGACATGCGCACAGAACAGATCAGATGGTCCCCCTGCCCAATGTATTTTTAAAATCTTCAAAGCTAACTTACAAGTATTTATAAACTTTAATCAAATTTAGTTAAAATTATTTTGTAGTTCTTCCTTCTTTTCTTCCTATTCAAATCTTTCTTCACTTATTCATTTGACTGATTTCAAGGTAATTAACGCCTTTTCAAGAACGAAGGGAAAAAAGAAAGGAAGTTCAGGAGTTGTCACTGTGTTTTTCGGAATTCAGGACCCCCTAAGAAATTGCTTAACTGATCAGATCAAATTTTAAAAACGTTTAGGTCAAACTTAAATGGAAAAAGTACAATGTTTTACAATTATAATTAAATTTTCTCTCACACATAGTGCCAAGAGGGAGCGAGAGGGTATTTATTTAGGAACATTTTTTAATTAATAGCAGGCATATTATTTTAAAATTTAAAAATAAAATTATTAAAAATTGAGCAAGATATTAGCATGTTAAATATTTTTTTCATATTGTACATGTTCGGAAAAAACTAAAAAGAAAATTTTTTCGTCTGAATTTTGTAGTGAATTGTATTTGGTATCTCGTGAAAAAAAAACCCGCTTCGAATATCTTGAATAAATTATAAAAAAAATTATGGTGCAAAATTGTGAAAAACAATTCCATCCGCTATTCTCCCTCATGCGCATGCGTAAAAGAATTACTTTAAATGCTCATATTGTGATATTTTACCTTCTTTCCTTCACCTGATGCTTCCCAAGTGATATAACTCAAAGAAAGGGCAATCAATTTGTAACACGAAAAAAATCTATTTATTAACAATTGTAAATGAATTTAAAGAAAATGAAACATAATTAAATCGCTAAACCAAAACTACTAGCATACACCTCCGCTCTCCATCAGAGCCCTACCTTCTCTGTTTGTTTTTGTTTTTCTCTTTTCTTTTATGGAGGGTGGCGCCACCAGACATCACACATATATTCCACAATTTTTAACCATTTTTTTTCTCCGCATTTTAAAATGATAAGCTTGTTATAAGTTAAAAATTGCCCCTAAAACTTTTATTTTTGATGTTTTAGGAAAAAAACGTAGGACAAAAAATAAAAAATAATTTTCTTTATAAAAATGTCCATATTTCCATAAATATTTAAGCTAAGTATGCGAAATTCTATGCAATATGTTTGAGTTAATAAGTTAATTGTTAAATTTTCTAGCATTAAATGATATAATGCTTGTTTTCGTTTGCAATTTATTGCCGGTCCCTCAAATCACCTCTGAGGGTTTCAAAATTTATTACAATCTTGAAAGTTATAAAGTAATCCTTTAGGTATTATTTGAGAAATTAAAAAAAAAATGTCAAAAACTGGAAGTGTCTCATTTATTATTGCACGGTAGTGTGTATTTAAATTTCCTTAGTTTTATTTCAGAGTTATTTCATTTGTTATAAACTGTTAAGTACTTCGATGAACATAACTGTTCCGTGTACATTTTAGAAATATCCCAAAAAATTTTGTCAATAAATTTAAGTAAAATTAAATTTTTTGTCAATCAATTTAAAGAAAATTAAATTAAATTTTTTGTCAATCAATTTAATGAAAATTAAATTAAAATTTTTGTCAATCAATTTAATTAAAATTAAATTAAAATTTTTGTCAATCAATTCAATTAAAATTAGATTAAAATTTTTGTCAATCAATTTAAAATTCATAAAAGACTATCCTGATTCATCACAACAGAATTAAATAATAAAAATGCAATTTTTTTAATACAAGTGATAAATGGTATCGAACGAAAAATGAACACTTTTAAAATGTTTTGAAAAGGAATTTCTTTTAAATATTTTGCGCTACATTTACTGTAATTCATGGTTTGTCATTTTTTTAATAATTTCCTTTTTTTTAAATGTTACTTAAAGACTATCTATGAGTAGTTTTTCTACAATTCATTTTTGTCAAGAATTCTAAAAAAAGTGTCGAACTCGCAATTATGGAACAATCTACATGCAATTAAATTGCGCAATAAATTAATATTGAAAAATGTGTGGTGAAAAGGATGCTGTTCCTCGCCCAGTTCAGTTCCTAGCATGTGAATACATTGAGTCACAATAATTTACAAATTTTGCTGTAAATAATCAATAAATAAGTTTTAATAATAAACAAACTAAAATAAACTGTCCAAAGAAATTCCATATTTAATTTACTTTATGATTTATAAAATGTTGTGTGTAAAGATGACTAAAAATATTATAAAATAACTGTGGATTTTTTTTTAATTACAATTAATAATCAATAAATACATTTTTAAAATTAATCACTCTGAAAAAAAAAAGCTATCTTAAGAAATTCCGAATTTAATCTACTTCATATTTTATAAAATCAATACATTTTGTAAAAAATAAATATTTTTTTAATAGTACACACTAAAATTCTGTCAAAAAAGTTCCTTATTTTATTTATTTTATAATCTGTAAAATGGTATGTACAAAAATGCTTAAAAATATTTTGAAATTACTCCAGAATATGACGAAATGACGTTAGCATTGGCGCCCAAACCTCTGACTAAAGAGAGAGTGAGGGGGGTAACGTCTAGTGTTGAACACATGTGCTTTTGGAAGAAGTATAACTCTTCTCTCTTATCGTTTCTTCTAAGTCTTTTTTCTTGTTTCAAGTCTCTTATTACTCAAGTTTCTTAGTTAAATTTGTTAATGTATACAATTATTCATATTAATTCGTGAGTATTCGCATCTAATATTTATTTCTGATAAATCATAATAAAATAAATTTTCTCGTAAAATTAAATAATTAAGAATTCGTTTCTTCTCTCTCAATATGACAATCATAAGTTTTAAAATTTAGACTGCAGTGTTTGAAACTGTTTGACAAAAGTTTTTGAAGTATAATTTAATTACTTCATTATCCTTACAATAATGTTATTAACAGAGGCGTCCTGAATTTATTTTTTCAGGGGGGGGGGACTCTCAATTTGCTGAATGAAATTTTTAATTTGATCAAATCATAAATACGCATGTAATTCATTTGCTTTAATAAGAAAGAAAAAAAAAACATTTTGTTGCTAACGCATTCACAATATGGTAAATTTTTTCATCAATATATTATTGATTTAATGATTTTATACTTGATTAACCTAGTCAATAAGCCTCAATTGGTCAGTACTTTTATTTTTTATTTCATAATCGTAGTTGAACAGCCAACCCAATTTTGGGTTTACGACTACTAAAGTTCAACTCCGCAGCCTTGTAATTTTGAACCCAATCCAGAAGACAGGGAAACTCCTAGATCAGTACCCCCAGAGGTATGATTTGTATGGGAACATGGAGGACTTCGTGACTTGACCGATTTAACGTGCATTAGTCACCATTTACTTCACGGGGAGTCTTCGCCGGGCCGGGATCGAACCCACTACCTCTTGGACATGGGCCAAGTGGCTTACCAATCAGACTATCCCAACTCTTGGTTAGTAGATTTACATTTTTGTTTTATAACCGTCGTTGAACAGCCGGCCCAATGTTTTTAGGCTTACGACTACTAACATTCAACTCCGTAGCCTTGTAATTTTGAACCCAATCCAGAAGACAAGAGAAACTCCTGGATTAAGTATGGGGGGGGGGATTTGCCTTCGTGGTGGACTTTTTGATGGAGCTATCCCAAATTTGTGTAACAAGGAGAGGAAAACCACGAAAGCCCTCCACTGTTAGCCTGACGGCAAGGGGACTGTAACCCATGATCCGTCTACCACTGAGGATATTTTACGTCTGCTCAGTGGTCAGTGCATGCCGGATGCGGAATTCGTATTGACTGGGATTCGTCCCGGTTCACGTCATTGGAATGCGAACCCTCTATCCCCTGAGCCATTTTGGTTAGTAGTTAAGGCACTTAACTGTTGTGATGAACTGCGGTTCAATCTGCAGTAACTGTCCAGCTTGTCTGGAAAGTACAGACGGCCCATGCGCGATGCTACCCACATTGCTCCAATCAGATCGCTAGTCACGAAATTATGTAGCCTTAACTTTCAAGAACCTCTGACGGTCCAAATGAGGTGTTGTGATGTG